ATGTTGTTGTTTAAATTTTTTCCCTGCAATAACTGATTCATCATTTCCGTCATTCTTTCCAACTGTTGTTTCACCTCAGCTTCAAACCTCGCTTGAGATCGTCTCATCTCATCAACTTTTTCCTAAATTGGTAAATTTTAAATGTCAAGGATCACATGTTATATAACTTTTTCCTATCTTTACATAGGCTACAATGATGCGTCGTAACGTTTCATTTAAATAAATATAACTTACGATAATCTTAAATTAGGATCTTTCCGATAAAACTTTTAAACACGTTTATATTATTCTAAGAAAGCAAGTACTGCCTTACCTTCGTTTCATCTTGACTTGTTTTCATTTCATCTTGAGTTACTTTCGTTTGATCTTGAGTCACTTTCATTTGATCCACACAATCCTGAATTGAAAAACACTATATTTAATTCATATTCTTTTTATTTGTAAAGAAAACTGCAACAGAACAAAGGAAATCTCTTGCCTTAATTCTGTTTGATTCTGCTTTCATTTCATCTTGACTTGTTTTTATTTCACTTTGATTTGTTTTTATTTCATCTTGAGTTACTTTCACTTGATCCACACAATCCTGAATTGAGAAACACTGTATTTAATTTCTATCCTTTTCATTAGTAAATCTGTTCTCATTGCAAAACTCCAAAAGAAGAAATTTTCTTGCCTTCATTTTGTTCGATTCCACTTTCATTTCAGCCTGAGACTGCTTCATGACTTCAACAGTTTTCTTCAAAGAAAAATTTAAATATCTAAGACATGGCATTGTATAAAACATAACTTTTAAATAAAGACAGTACATTAGCTAGGGTCAGTTATCTTTGTAACAATGTTTGTTTTTACGACATCTACAAAACAATCGAATTAGCTTTTTTAAAAACCAAACAAGAACAATCTTACCCTTGTTTTTTCTTGACTTGCTCTAATCTCTTTACAGTCGTGACACTTGGCGATTCTAAACTCACAAAGATCTTTCTCGTGAAGATCTTTATCTCTTTTATTCACCTCCATTCCACATCCTTCATTCTTGCAAGTCACGGGTGCAAAACCACATTTATCAACATGATTTTTTAAATTCTCAAGCAAGACAAAGCCTGGACAACCTCTTTCGCTGTATCCACACTTGATTTTCAGCGCTGCCAGAGTGTTCTTCATAAATCTCGGAGGATCTTTCAGGATTTCTGGAGTGAGATGTTCTCTGCATTCAGGACACGTGTGGGAGTGACGAAGATGTTCAGAAATACAGGAAAGACAAAATGCATGTTCTTTATGGCAAGTTCGAGGGTTTCTGAGCACTCCTTGACAAATGGAGCAGAAGAGATCTTCGCTGATTGTTCCTTCAAAACGTCTTTCATCATAACCTTGTTCATCTTTCTCCATTCTCTGAGCCATTTATGGACGGCTAGAAAATAAATTATAATTTATGGATAACGGTTGTACTAAGAACTATCCCCAGCTTGTTAACGAGTTTGTTAAACAGTGGCTTTTTCGTAACTTTCTTCAAGGTTGTTGTTGACTCGAAAGACTTGTTGCAAATTGTTTCAACGACTTGGTGTATGGTTCTACAATTCAACATCTTGTCAACTCGAAATTTGTTTGAAATGTGTCTAGAGTTGCTTCTTAATGACGACAACGTGATTTTGAATTGATCGTGATTTTCTCCTAAAAGTTGTGAACAAGCCACTTTCACCGATGAATAATTAATAGTCTGGATCTAAATTTGTCTTTATTTCTGTATTCAAATCGATAATTGTTGACTGAAAACAAAGAAATATTATATCACATCAGCGTCCTTGATGGAAACCAGGCAATACTTAGAACCAGGTGAGACTTGTTCAGGTGTTTCTCATCTTTAAATATTTTATACTCTCTTTATCTTACCAGCATTTTCGCAAAAGATATGTTCGCAATAACGCTTCTCAATTCGGGTTTTAAAAGAGCCATTTTAGTGTTCTTCAAACCGGAAAAATATGCGAAGAATTCATTCACCTGCTGTGTGATGTTATGACACGTATCAAGTCGATAGCATTTATTACTCAGAACTGCTATTTTAACTCTGTATTTCAATCGAAATCTGTACTTCAAATGTCTTTTGTCGATTGTATATGCCAAACTAACATTCTCTGTACCATAAGTCCATCTTAACCAACACATTTAAAAGTTATCACACCAAGACACAGACAGAGTTGTTTGTAAGACTGCTATTAGGAAAATATGTCTTCGATTTAAGCAGTTTTTACAAATTCGCATTCTGCATTACCACGTCAAATGCAGGCGATGGAAATAAGTTCAATAAATGCTCTAAATGTCTGCATGTTAACACGATTCAATTTTGTAGCATTCAATTCACCTCTGACTTATGAAATGTAGTCAGGTTATTGATAAATCAGTACTGCATAAGTCTGCATTGGCTTGAGTTGATTTGCTGCGCTATACATTGCATTTCAACAAACTATAAAACATCCTTTAGGAGTTAATTGGAACCGAAAAATTTGGATCGTGTGAACAGACTTTAAAAATGACAGTTTTTAATTGACTTTAAAATATGATTCAAACACGGAACTTTATGGCGAGCGGCGTTTGTGGTCAATAGACTAACACAATTTTAACTTTTTTATTTAATGGATTAACCCATTTACCCTTGACAGTATAGTTATATAGTTAAACAGCACAAAAATAATGAAATAGACTTACCAAATTTACTGAATTATGAGAGCTTTTTATTTAACAATCGTACAACAAGTTGGTTTCGACGCCGTCAACAGTATTTTGTGTTTGTGACAACACCGTAATATGTCTTAATTTTTATTGTGTTTAAGACATCGCATGACTTCTTTTAACATCCTTATAAGGAACTAACTGTTCCCCTGGACAATACAATCTTTACCATCATGCTGTGACCATTTTAAATATATCTTCAAACATTTGCATTTCACATGATCTGGCTTAAACTTCGTTTCGTTAAATCTCGGTGTACCGGAAGAGACCCTATGAAATGACGTTTTAAAATATGCAAGAAAATAAAAGAAAAACAATGTTTCAATGGTCTACGCTCATCTATAACTTTCACCATACAGAAATTAAAACCATATCCTGGTGATATCCTTAGGATATCCTGTTAATATCCTGGTGATATCCTTAGGGTATCCTGTAAATATCCTGGTGATATCCTGTAAATATCCTGGTGATATCCTTAAGATATCCTGGCGATTTCCTTGGGATAACCTGTAAATATCCTGATGATATTCTTAGGATATCCTGTGAATATCCCGGTGATATCTTTAGGATATCCTGGCGATTTCCTTTGGATATCCTGATGATATCCTTAGAATAAGGATAAGGTTGACAAAGGATCACGTTGAAATCACGAGATTTCCTGAACTAGGGGTGAAAATCACGACATATCAAGGTGTTGTCTTGATTCTTAAACACAAAATACTACTGGCAGCGTTAAAATCAACTTGTTGCAGAACGACACAGCGCAAAGCTCTCAAGTCTCAATATTCAATAAAACTGGTAAGTCTAATTTCATTATCTATTTGTCGTTTAAACTGACAGGGTCTGTCCAGTATTTATAATAAAACGCGTTGTGATTCAGTTTGACTACGAACAGCAAACACACTGCAACGTAATTAACTTTGAATCACGTTTTAAATCGTTACTGCTTGAATGTTAGTTGAACTTATAATATAACCTCATATAATCTTTACCAATTACTGTTTTAGTAAAGCGTTGAATGCCTTTATTATCTAAAAGCATATATTTTCCCCTCTAAATGCATCACCGACATTATTGAGCGCAATACGTCTGAACCGAACGCGCAAGCCAACAATGAACGCGGGGTATTACACAGTTAAAATTAAGATACCGAGACCAAAGGCAGTTGTGACAGGAAGAAAAAGACGAGGTAATATGGAGGAAGTAGACAAATTTTGTTTCAATTGTTGACGTCGAAGAACGCAAAGTTTCAAATCTTCTCAACTGCAGCCACGCAACTGACGCAACCAGCCTTCTGTTGCTGTGATTGTTGAAGAGTTTGAATTAAGGCGACTAACAGTAATTCTCGCGTACTGTAGAATATTATAATTCATCGTTAATCCTGGTGAAATATCAGATAAAGAGAACAACAAACTGTAGACTGTTCAATGATTACACAATTCCAAAGCATCAGCGCCTCAAATTACGAATAGCTTTCGATTTGTCTGATCCATTCTGCTATGGGGAAAATATTACGACATAAACTTTGTTTCGAAAGGATAGATTTTAGATCATAAAACTGTTGACTTGATTATAAACACACGCATCAAGTAAATGATTCCTATAATTATATTTCAAACGGCTTTATACGACTTGATATTCTCGCAGTCGTTATGAGACACGGAAGTTGCAAGAATGAGTCTCTCGCCTGAAGGACACAAGCCCGCAATTCAAAAGCTATAGCAAAGGTATTTTACTGGCATTGTTGTCAAAACGAAAACGAACTAAAATATTTTGAAATATCGAAGACGAAACATGAAATAGTCACAATCTGTTTTATGTATGCATGATCACATAACAACTCTAATCCACGTTTGCGACAAGTCTCGTCTTTGTATTTGTTTGAAAGAATTTAATTAAGATCATGTTACGCCTTGTAATTTATAAACCATTCATCCAGTCACAGTCTGATCCTTGCTGAGATCAGTTGAGTCAAGCTGCAGAGAGATTGTGAAGTATTGTCTCGCAGTATTTGCAAAAGTAAAAGTTGGTTTAACTTTTTATGCAACTTGCAATGAGTTCACAGTTTTTTCTCACAGCATTTTGAATTGTAAGGAGTAGAGCTTTTAACCAAGGTCGAATTACAAGGCAAAGTTACAAATGATGCACAGTGTCTATCTGTTGTTACCTTGTACGAAAATTGGACAAAGAACTTAATTTTACAATAGCGAAGCAAATGCAAGTTTAGCGAAATTAAGGGCAGGTTTAATTCAGCCAAAGACATGCTTTACTTGTTACATAAGTAAACAAAACTATATTTTCGCCAACACATTTGTAGCAAACCTGACAACAAGTTGTAATAATGTTGTCACTCGCAACTTGTTCAAACTGCCGTCGCGTGCGATGGAACAAGAATTTGAACAACCAAAGCCATAATCCATAAATCATAATTTATTTTCTAGTCGTCTATAAATGGCTCAGAGAATGGAGGACGATGAACAAGGTTATGATGAAAGACGTTTTGAAGGAACAATCAGCGAAGATCTCTTCTGTTCTATTTGTCAAGGAGTGCTCAGAAACCCTCGAACTTGCCATAAAGAACATGCATTTTGTCATTTCTGTATTTCTGAACATCTTCGTCATTCCCACACGTGTCCTGAATGCAGAGAACATCTCACTCCAGAAACCCTGAAAGATCCTCCGAGATTTATGAAGAACACTCTGGCAGCGCTGAAAATCAAGTGTGGATACAGCGAAAGAGGTTGTCCAGGCTTTGTCTTGCTTGAGAGTTTACAAAATCATGTTGATAAATGTGGTTTTGCACCCGTGACTTGCAATAATGAAGGATGTGGAATGGAGGTGAATAAAAGAGATAAAGATCTTCACGAGAAAGATCTTTGTGAGTTTAGAATCGCCAAGTGTCACGACTGTAAAGAGATTAGAGCAAGTCAAGAAGAAACAAAGGTAAGATTGTTCTTGTTTGGTTTTTAAAAAAGCTAATTCGATTATTTTGTAGATGTCGTAGAAACAAACATTGTTACAAAGATAACTGCCCCTAGCTAATGTACTGTCTTTATTAAAAGTTATATTTTATACAATGCCATGTCTTAGATATTTAAATTTTTCTTTGAAGAAAAGCGTTGAAGTCATGAAGCAGTCTCAGGCTGAAATGAAATTGGAATCAAAGAAAATGACGGCAAGAAAATTCTATTTCTTCTTTTAAAGTTTTGCAATGAGAACAGATTTACTAATGAAAGGGATATGAATTAAATACAGTGTTTTTTAATTCAGGATTGTGTGAATCACATGAAAATAACTCAAGATGAAATAAAAACAAGTCAAGATGAAATGAAAGCAGAATCAAACCAAATTAAGGCAAGAGATTTCCTTTGTTCTTTTGCAGTTTTGTTTACTAATGAAAAAGATAGGAATTAAATACAGTGTTTTTTAATTTAGGATTGTGTGGATCAAATGGAAGTAACTCAAGATGAAATAAAAACAAGTCAAGATGAAACGAAGGTAAGACAGTACTTGCTTTCTTAGAATAATATAAATCTGTTTTAAACTTTTATCGGAAAGATCCTAATTTCAGCTTATTGTACGTTGTTATTTAAATGAAACGTTCCGACAAATCATTGTAGCCTATGTAAAGATAAGAAAAAGTTATATAACATGTGATTCTTGACATTTAAGATTTACCAATTTAGGAAAAAGTTGATGAGATGAGACGATCTCAAGCGAGGTTTGAATCTGAGGTGAAACAACAGTTGGAAAGACTGACGGAATTGATGAATCGGTTATTGCAAGGAAACAATTTAAACAACAACATCAATGGTGCCAGCGCCATGGAACCAGCAACTGTAGAAAACAATCAAGATATTATTATTATTATTGGTGGTTGGTATGGCTCAGGACGTGACGAGGTATTAAATACAGTGGAGAAATACAACATAGTAGAAGGAAAGTCAACTCCGCTGCCAGGATTGAATCATCCTCGAACAACACCAGCATCGTGTGTTTACAACAATGACGTTCTTGTCGTTGGTGGTTTCGATGGTACAGAAGGAACTGACACGATCGAAGTTTTGAATATGAACCAACATCCTTTGCGATGGACAATGTTTGATGGTAAACTGCCTGTCAAATTATCTGCTCATGACGTCATAGTTTATCAAGGAAAATTATATATAATAGGAGGAATTGACTGGAATGGAAAAAAAACGTCGAATGCCATTTATGAGATTGCTCTTACCCCACCTTATACTGCCAAGCTGCTGACGAGAATGCCTGAGGCAAGAAGATATCACAGAGCAGAACTTGTTAACGGAAAACTGTTTATCTTGGGTGGAACAACAACCGACTTTAGTAAAGATGCTTTTGACAGCGTTGTTGTTTATGATTTGATTAAGAATGAGTTCAAGCCATGTCCATCGTTACCTCAGCCTGTTTGTTTTATGTCCACAGTCACTTGGGGTCATATGATCATCGTCGTTGGTGGTGCGGATAAGAATAACCAGGCATTAAATGACGCCATAATGTACGACACAGAGACTGGGCGAAGCGAGAGACTGCCCTCCATGATTTACAAAAGGAGGGGCAGCTCTGTCGTGATCATGAATGACGTCATTGTCGTGTTTGGTGGATGGAATAAGGAGCAGGGACATCTCAACTCAGTGGAATCTTTCACCATTGGTGTAGATGGCTGGAAAGAACTGCCAGGATTGATAGAAAAAAGAAACCGCGGTTCTGCTGTAGTTAAACCTCACAACTGAAAAGATTTCTCACAAACGGTAGTAATTTCGAACGATAATATCTACAACTATATATTTTGTGTCTAATATTTCAGTCAACTCTTGCACGAGATGTATAAAGGCGATGTTACACTATGAAACTTTCCTTGCAACTTGCAATGCAATTCTACTCCTGAGGCATCTAAAGTTGTCAAATACGAACTTTTCTTACGATCTGCTGACGTTTTCTTAGCATTTCGAACACTCTTTACAAAATAACATCCCTCAAAATTCCATTGATAATTTGCAAGTTGCAGAGAAAGGTGCAAAGTGTGACAGCGCGTAGTTTAAAAGTGTCTAAAATGATTTCTCAACGAAACTAAACGAGCTCCGTTCATGATTACTTTGTAAATATTGTAGATATAATAAAAACTTTATAATAAACTTATGAACACTAATTTTTCGCGATTTTTATCGCGAATTTAGATTTAGTAAGATATAAATGTATAAAAAGTTTACTTTGTAAATATTGCAGATATGATATCTATTGGCGTATCTCATTTGAGTTAACCAACGACCACTTTTTCGCGACTTTTAATGCGTCTTTTGCGCGCCTTCGTGCACAACTTAAAAGACCTTTTCATAATGACATCAAACGCGGAAAGTCTGATGTTACACGAAGTTTGATTGGTTCGATAGTTTTCTGGAGCCAATCAAATTTCGTGTAACATCAGACTTTCCGCGTTTGACGTCATTATAAGAAAGGTCTATTAACGCGTCTTTTGCGCGACTTTTTACGCGACTTTTTCCCCGACTTTCATTTTCATCGCGAGTTTTATCCAGTATTACTATATAGTTCAGTGGTCTACATATCGAACCCAGGCTCCTCTCCGTGTTTCGAATGTCGTCAATTTACTTAATTAATATTGAAAATTATTATAAATTTATAATCTTTGTTTTTTTTGTAATTTTTCGAGCAAAATTCGCCCCGAAAATGAGTTCTCCTTTGCTATTGAATGAAAAGGAGCAAGCCAAAGAACAATTCAATGAGAAATGGCCGGCAATGAAGCCCATAGTTATAAAAATTTTGAAACAAAAAGGTGTTACAAAGTCTGAATGGCAAGACCTCTTCTGGTAAGTTGATGAATCTTTTATGAAGAAAATGAACAGTCTGGTTTAATATAATTAAAGATCGTTCATTACAGAATATCCAGTTTATATTGAAATGAGCTTAGTTTATTGCATTGCGGTGATTGCACCATAAATTGCTTTCCAATAGAGTTTTTAAACACAAAAGAAAGACGACAACTACAACTAAGTACTAACTAAATATAATTCCTGTTAGGGATGTCCATAAAGTTTCACAATGGGACGAGAAAGGTGTGATGAAGATCTTTGAGGCTCTCAAGTCAGTTGTATCAGAATATAATCAATGTGTTCAGAGGGTAAGTATAATAATTAAACTATCTGTGTCTAATGTCAGATGATTTACTCATCAGTGGGAAGAATACTGTCAGTAATAATAACAAAACTATCTGTCAGTGTCTCTTGTTAACTCATTAGCTTGCAATGCACCCAGATGTGACCTACTTTAGTATTTTACTCTGTCTAATGCCAGATGATTTTACTCATCAGTGGAAGAGTACTGTCAGTTAATAAGTTAACAAAACTATCTGTCAGTGTCTCTTGTTAACCCATTAGCTTGCAATGCACCCAGATGTGACCTACTTTAGTATTTTACTCTGTCTAATGTCAGATGATTTTACTCATCAGTGGAAGAGTACTGTCAGTTAATAAGTTAACAAAACTATCTGTCAGTGTCTCTTGTTAACCCATTAGCTTGCAATACACCCAGTGCCTTGCTCTGTCTAATGCCAGATGACTCATTTCTTTGATGCTTTTCACCAGATTGTTATGAAAGAAGATGATGACTCAGTTTTGCTGAAAACATATATTCAAGAATGGACAAAATTCTTTGCTCAATGTCAATATATTGCTCAGCCTTTCAAATCCCTTGAGACTCACAATGCTAAAAATAACAGTGGCAAGAAAAATAACAAAACTGGAGTTTCTGAGTCAAGCTCAATTAAAAAGGTAAGAAAATAATCTTTCATTTATCCAGTGTTTACTACATGAGAAAACCTAAACTAAACTAACTTTATTTATACTAGATCAGCTCTATCAGTTCTAAACTGTTCTTCCTAGAGGTCCAGTAAGGATCATCTCTTATTGATCCAGTGTTACTACATGAGGAAACCTAAACTAAACTAACTTTATTTATACTGGATAGCTCTATCAGTTCTAAACTGTTCTTCCTAGAGGTCCAGTAAGGATCGTCTCTTATTAATCTAGTGTTACTACAGGAGGAAACCTAAACTAAACTAACTTTATTTATACTGGATAACTCTATCAGTTCTAAACTGTTCTTCCTAGAGGTCCAGTAAGGATCATCTCTTATTGATCCAGTGTTTAGTGTTACTACAGGGGTAAACCTGATCTAGCGGTCTCATCAATCTAACTAATCTTTTTGAATTTCTTTAGCTGATGCTGGACACATGGAATGAAATTATATTTTCAAACATAAATAGAAAACTTCAAGCAAGTGCTATGAAGCTTGTTCATGAAACGTGCTGGGGAATCATTTGATTCTCAATTGGTTATTGGTGTAAGGGAATCCTATGGTATGTTTATGATGTGGTTTCACTTTGGGCCTGGGATTAAAATCATTCTTTTATATCCTGGGACTTTTGTACTTATTTTAGTGAATCTCTGCTGCAGTGAAGATGATAAATTACGAATCTACAGTAAAAATTTTGAGAAGGCTTATCTTGATGCGACCAGGCAGTTTTATTCAAATGTTGCTTCAATGTACTTGGAAGAAAATGGAGTTGAACAATACATGAATTATGTAAGTATTTGACTTTAAGTTGAGGTATTCAAACTGCTTTAAGGTAATCTGCATGCTTTGGACTGTTTTTTTTGTGGAAAAGGAGCTCTGGTGAAACCTTTGGTAACTTTATTTCCATTTATTTCAGGCTCATAGTAAACTACATGAGGAAGAACATCGTGCACAAAGATATCTGGAAACGTCACAAGGATGTAACTCTTGTGAACTTGTGAGTCACTTTTATTAACTGACATTGAATTTCTTAGTCTATGAGGCAAAGTCTCTGATATGTAAGATTTTATCATTATATTATTTTCTGCTTTTTTCTCTCTCAAAGTTAAGTCAAGTTTGTGTCAATGTTCTTGTGAGTGATGTTAAAGATTGTATATTGGAAGAATGTCCTGGGTTTATTGCAGGAAACTGCACTGAAAGTGAGTCAGTTTTGTACTTTTAACTAGTGGAAACTAGTATTCAAAGATAAATACACATGTAAAATATATTTTTACTGATTCAATCCTTTGACTTTATGTAGAATTGTTAAAGATGTTTCATCTGATGGACAGGGTCTCTGATGGCGTTCAACCAATGATCAGTCACCTTGAAAATCATGTGATAACTACTGGTTTAGCTGATATGATTGGTGCAGCAGCAACAATATCTACGGTATGTCCCTTGATGATAGTTTTGTTAACTCATTAACTGACAGTACTCTTCCACTGATGAGTAAAATCATCTGACATTAGACAGAGTAAAATACTAAAGTAGGTCACATCTGGGTGCATTGCAAGCTAATGGGTTAACAAGAGACACTGACAGATAGTTTTGTTAACTTATTAACTGACAGTACTCTTCCACTGATGAGTAAAATCATCTGGCATTAGACAGAGTAAAATACTAAAGTAGGTCACATCTGGGTGCATTGCAAGCTAATGGGTTAACAAGAGACACTGACAGATAGTTTTGTTAACTTATTAACTGACAGTACTCTTCCACTGATGAGACTAAACAGATGAGATTAGACAGAGTAAAATAAATCACTAGTTTCTGCCTTTATGAGACACTTTTTTCTCTTCAGGACTCAGAGAAATACGTAGACAGACTCCTGATGTTATTTAATCGATTCAGTTCTTTGGTGAAAGAAGCTTTCAATGATGATCCAAGATTTTTAACAGCGAGGGATAAATCTTTCAAGAGAGTCGTCAATGATACCACAATATTCAATATAGAATTACCAACGAATATTAAATCGTAAGTAATCTCACAATTTGTATTTACCGATTGATTTTCAAACTGGATTATCTCTCATATAAATCCTCTCTAATCCTTTTTAATCCCTCCTATTCCTCCTTAATCCCTCCTATTCCTCCTTAATCCCTCCTAATCCTCCTTAATCCCTCCTATTCCTCCTTAATCCCTCCTATTCCTCCTTAATCCCTCCTATTCCTCCTTAATCCCTCCTATTCCTCCTTAATCCCTCCTATTCCACCTTAATCCATCTTAATCCTCCTTAATCCATCCTATTCCTCCTTAATCCATCCTAATCCTGTGCAATTTTCCACTCATAACAGAAGTTCAAGTAAGACTGTGCCAGAGTCAAAATGTCCGGAGTTGCTGGCAAACTTCTGCGATATGTTGTTGAGGAAAAGTCCCTTCAGTAAGAAATTGACATCTGATGAAATTGAAGCAAAATTAAAAGATGTTGTAAGTACCTTTGTTTAGGTTTCCTCCTGTAGTAACACTGGATCAATAAGAGATGGTCTTTGTAAACTGGACCTCTAGGAAGAACAGTTTAGAACTTATAGAGCTATCCAGTATAAATAAAGTTAGTTTAGTTTAGGTTTCCTCCTGTAGTAACACTGGATCAATAAGAGATGATCCTTACTGGACCTCTAGGAAGAACAGTTTAGAACTTATAGAGCTATCCAGTATAAATAAAGTTAGTTTAGTTTAGGTTTCCTTCTGTAGTAACACTGGATCAATAAGAGATGATCCTTACTGGACCTCTAGGAAGAACAGTTTAGAATTGACAGAGTTATCAAGTATAAATAAAAGTTAGTTTAGTTTAGGTTTCCTCCTGTATAGTAATCTCTAGGAAGAACAGCTGTTTCCTGACATGATTATTATTTTCTTGAATGTATAGCTGTTGGTCTTGAAATATGTTGATAATAAGGATGTTTTTATGAGGTGAGTAAGCTCTCTGTCTGTGAAGGAGATGCTGTTCTTACAATCCAGATAATTCTAATCTATTCTTCATTTCCCAGGTACCACAAAGCTCATCTGACAAGAAGATTAATATTAGATTGCTCAACAGACAGTGATTTGGAAGAAAATATGGTCGAATGGTTGAGAGTAAGTTAACTTTACAATTCCTTTGTGAAAATTGTTGGATTTATCCTAGAAATGAAACCTTTTTTCAAACACAGGATGTTGGTATGCCAGCAGATTATATTAATAAACTAGCAAGGATGTTTCAAGATATAAAAGTCAGTGAAGATCTCAACCAGGCGTTTAAAGATGTTTACAGGAATCGTTCACCCATGGCAGGTGATGAAACTTGATAAAACAACTGCTTTTGAAAACTTGTAATTTAATTTATTGTATCATTCATTACTTAAACGACGTTATTTTCTTCACAGATTCTATAGCCATTAAGATATTGAATGCTGGTGCTTGGGCGCGAAGTTCTGAAAGGGTAGCCGTATCTTTGCCGACAGAAGTAAGTCGTCTTGGTAGTGTGTATCCTGAAATTTCTATTAAACTCACGTTAACCCATCTCCCAGCGAAGTCTCCCAGCCTGTGAATCACTTCAACTGCGATTTCTTGTATATTTTTGAACCAGCTCGAAGATTTTATTCCCGAGGTTGAAGAATTTTATCGTCGAAGTCACAGCGGCCGGAAACTTCAATGGATTCATCTGATGTCCAACGGCGTGGTAAGTCTGAAAGTTTTGAACTCTTCCTATGAAAATTCTTGTGTCTTGTTGCAAGTAATCGTGTATTTTCGCTTCATACCATAGATAACTTTCGCAACGGAACAGGGGAAATACGATATAGAAGTCACAACGTTTCAAATGGCCGTCCTTTTTGCTTGGAACGAGAGACGAACAGATAAACTCTCGTTTCATGACTTAAGGTAAAAATGATTTGGAGTTTTTAGAAAGAAATGATTGAACTAAAAGTTCGAATCTTTATTGTTAGACTAGCGACGGAACTGCCCGAATCAGAGCTTCGTCGAACATTATGGGTAAGAAGTATCTATGTCTCATAACAGCGATTAAATAAACCTCTGAGCACAAGCGGTTTTAGAAAAATACATCGTGTTTATTTCATCAACTTTTCCGTCCATTTTCACCTAGTCGCTTATCGCCTTTCCTAAATTAAAACGCCAAATTCTGATATGTGATCCTGCTGTAAATTCTCCGAAAGAACTAAAAGAACAATCGACATTTTGTGTCAATCACAACTTTGCTCTAATTAAGTTTGAACAGTCAGTTGCCCCTGTTTATCAACTCTTTTAATTGTTAAATTTTCGAAATCTATTTGGATAACTTTTACCCTATGATAGCGATCATTCATAATCATGAATCTGCTTCGTCTTTAGAAAAAATGGAAAAGTACAAAAGCGTGGAAAAATAAATTTCATTGGAAGGCTTCAGCTATCAACAGATAAACATCGCGAGGAAGATAATGAAGCCATCATTGCTTTGAGAATACTTCGGACACAGGTAAGATAAGCGAGAGTTTACATGAGAGTTTCATCAACTATCATTGCTTGATCAAACGAGAACAAGAGTTGCATGAGAGTTGACAAGCGAGAGTTTACATGAGAGTTTCATCAACTATCATTGCTTGATCAAACGAGAACAAGAGTTGCATGAGAGTTGACAAGCGAGAGTTTACATGAGAGTTTCATCAACTATCATTGCTTGATCAAACGAGAACAAGAGTTGCATGAGAGTTGACAAGCGAGAGTTTACATGAGAGTTTCATCAACTATCATTGCTTGATCAAACGAGAACAAGAGTTGCATGAGAGTTGACAAGCGAGAGTTTACATGAGAGTTTCATCAACTATCATTGCTTGATCAAACGAGAACAAGAGTTGCATGAGAGTTGACAAGCGAGAGTTTACATGAGAGTTTCATCAACTATCATCGCTTGATCAAACGAGAACAAGAGTTGCATGAGAGTTGACAAGCGAGAGTTTACATGAGAGTTTCATCAACTATCATTGCTTCATCAAACGAGAACAAGAGTTGCATGAGAGTTGACAAGCGAGAGTTTACATGAGAGTTTCATCAACTATCATTGCTTCATCAAACGAGAACAAGAGTTGCATGAGAGTTGACAAGCGAGAGTTTACATGAGAGTTTCATCAACTATCATCGCTTGATCAAACGAGAACAAGAGTTGCATGAGAGTTGACAAGCGAGAGTTTACATGAGAGTTTCATCAACTATCATTGCTTCATCAAACGAGAACAAGAGTTGCATGAGAGTTGACAAGCGAGAGTTTACATGAGAGTTTCATCAACTATCATCGCTTCTTCAAACGAGAACAAGAGTTACTTGTCAGTCATTAATTCTTTTCGTTTTTTAGGAGGGAATTGTACGAATTATGAAAATGCGAAAAACACTATCAAACGCTCAACTTCAGACTGAACTTGTAGAAATTCTAAAAAACATGTTTATACCACAAAAGAAATTAATCAAAGAACAAATAGAATGGCTTATTGAACACAAATACATCAAAAGAGACGAAAATAATATTAATCAATTTATTTATTTAGCATAAAAATATGTACAAAAGAAATTGTTTTTTAAATTAATAATCATAGTTTTGTTAATTTTCACTGTCTTTCTTCATAGTCGGATATTTAAATAGGAATAATACCAGGTGAGTAACCAGTGTTTCTAATATAACCAAGGAGCAGCGTGGCAGCGTCTTCAAAAAACTTAGCATCAAATGTGGTATAACAACTGCAAAAATAGACAAAACACTTCTCGACATTTCGACCTGAGGGCCTTCGTCAACTCTCCTGATGAAGGCCCTCAGGTCGAAACGTCAAGAAGTGTTTTGTCTATTTTGGCAGTGTTTATTTCTGCCTATCTTTTGTTAAAAACTTGGAACTGAAAGTGGCATTGCAAAGGTTATACCTAGCTGAATAATTTGTGTTTAATTGATCTCCTGATTTCAATGAGATGTGTCCATGAAATGACTATGGGTCTTAACCTTCTATAACACCATGTAACCATCTATAACACCATACTTTTTTTAGGTATTCAATGCTAGTAGCAGAGTTGTTCTAAGGGGATTTACTGGTCATACTTGGTAAGGTATATGGAAGGTTATAAAGATTGACCTTCTTTCATAATTTATTAGTTTTAGAGCTGTCCATAGCATAGGTACCCAACATTTTGGCTGTCAGAGTTTAAAAACCTCCACCATTACAGATGGTAGAAGAGCGAATACCCCACCCAAGTCTGGTTGCAATATGATAACAGATTAAGGAAACCCTGATAATATTACAATATAAATGTTAGCGGTAGTCCTTGAGCTGATCATTCCAATATATATCCTAAGGCCTGGTTCATACGTCGCATTTTGGTCGCCTCGAATGCAATTCAAACAATAGATAATGAGATGATAAACCTTATTCAGCTTCATTATCATCTTATTATCTATTGTTTAAATTGCATTCGACGTGACTAAGTGCGACATATGAACTAGCCCTAAGAGAAGGAAATGTATCTCTTGAACAAAAAATGGGTGCTACACATGGTTGAAGACCACGCCTAGGTGCTCCACCCAAGTCTGGTTCCAATATGATAACAGGTTGAAGTAATCACTAATCAATGATGTTATATAACGATGTGAATGCTCGTGCCTCGTGGTGGTCGTTGATTTCTAGGGAGCGAAAGGGACGGATACATGCAATTGAATGTGGGACGTAAAATCGGGATCATCTTTCCAGCACTCCCACGGTTTTTTCCCAAGATTGTAGGTGTCCACATGTGCCATCAACATTATAAAGCAGACGTTATCAATTCGTCGATTGTAACCAAAATTCGGAGTCGTAGTAACGGCCATCGTATATCCTCAATAGTAAAATTAACATTTTTAACTCCTGAACGACTACATTTGATATATTTAAATCAATAATCCCTGTAGTATAAAACAATAAACACTATTATGTTCATGTTGTTTCTGATGCAATCTTAAAACTATATTTCTGGGGGCGTGTACCATGACACCACAAATACTGCATTCTGATTGGCCAGAGCCCGGAAGTCCTCGTTTCTGATTGGTTACATTTTGTTCGGCACACTGAAATTTTCCATGGATTTCCTGTAGACAATGGCGGGCAGACTAACTTTATACTTCAATATGAGATGACATTTTGAAGTATTTTCTGAGCATACAACGCTGTTTTCCAACCAAATAATGAGCCAGGGACAAAAGAAATACATCGAGGGGAGTGATTCTCTTCATTTTAATCTACTCGCCCTCTGTTCCAGAGATTTATCACGTCGAAAACACATTCTCGATTTGGTTCGCCATCGGGCTGAGGAGCTGGCAAACGATCGACAGACTGAAGTATTGAAAGCTTATCTTCCAGCTATTCTGCGACTGTCAAATGTTTGTCCATTTGAAGATGTACGCAAAGGATTAACGATACTTTTGCAAGAGTTAAAGGTCAGTTAAACTGAAAATATCAAACGCAATTGTCAATTGAAATTATTGAAAATGACGGCCGCGAATGACTTTTGTCAAATTTGACATTTGTGTAAAGGAATTATTTTTGTTTCATCTTCAACAGGAGAACGGGGAAAAAGTGCCGCGGAAGGTTCATGTGGGACCATCGTTTTTTATTCCTTCAAAAGAGGTTTGTAAAATATACAATATATATTTTAATTCGGCGGGGAAGAGTCTCAAAATGTATATAAAGAAATTATTATTAATAACTGTTTTGTGTATTTTGTGGGATGAACGAAAGTAACATTTGCAGCTGCGCTTTGAATCTGCGATATATTCGTTTACTCGAATGCTTTTTTGCTTGGCGAAACTTAAAAAAGCACTTCTAGTTGAACGGAAATGATCATTTTATTGTTATTCATAATTTCAAGCTCTTAAAAGCAACAAAAATTTGTGAAATATTGTTACGTAATATTTAACAATTATTGCATTCTTGTCCACCATTACCAACGTGGCCGCTGGGAAAACCCTTAAAACTTCGTAAAAAACTATGTAGTCTTTGAACTAAGCAAGAACTTTATTCATTCTTTTAAACTTTAAGTGAAAACAACACAAAAATCCCAGATAATATATTATATTGAATACTAAAGCTCTTGTTCAAATGTTGAATGTTTTTTTGCACGTTTCAAATCTAAAGCCCAGATAGATCTTGAGTTTCGTTTAGTTTTTTAGTCTCAAGGATCTTCTGAGCTTCAGTGCTTAGTTTATGCCCAAGATATAAGTTTAAACATAATTATTTCTTCTAGTATTTTATTTTCTCCTGAATATTCCCAGCATTTGTCATGTTAATAATAATGTGGTCAATAAATTTAATATGTTGTTAATCATTTGGTTTAACCACAAATTTGATGGGGAAATCGAGAATACTTTTGTTTTTGCTGTGGGCTTTTGCAAGTTATGAATTCAATATTGTATACATGATGCAGAGTTTGATACCCTGTTGTGAGACCTGTTTTCATGAAAAAGCAATATCAATTGTTGATTTCTATATAGATGATTTAAGCAAATTAGTCATGGCTTTAACTTTGACTAGAATAATTCATAATCGTTTTTTAAGCATTGCGGGATATTTACGCTTTGTTTACTTATAAAAAACCTCAAAATTTTAAAGATAAATAGCAATTAATATTCTTCTGTTCATGACCACACATAAATTGTTTATAAATGCTGGTGATATTTCTCATTTTCTCCTTAAGTATTTAAGAGTATTTGTATGCAACATTGAGCTATATTTGGGACATAACAATGCTAACAATGTCAATTGTTTAGCTTCATTCTAATCAGCTAATGGTTAACATTGATGGGGCATTGCATAAAGATACATTACTAGACATTACTATGTTATTGTGTTAGCAAGAGACACTGTGAAGTAGTTAGGTTGACTAGTAGGGTTCAAAATCATCTCTAACTAGACAGAGCTTCTTTCTTTTCAAGTGATGTGTTTGTTCTCAATCAATCCAGTCTATTCGAATTTAAAATTCTGTTTACATTAAGTAATTCCAGATGATGACATTAGGCTAATTGAATCTATCCTGTCAGGGTTATCAGCAAATACCAATTCTACCAAAATTTTACTTGCTTTGTTGTGTCAAAATCTGTGAACCTTTCTTGTAACCTGTTCAAGCGATTAAATTTGTTTCAAGCTAATTGGATCTCACATCACTAATGGCTGGCTCATTGGAAGTAAAACAACTATAGCAATTCTTCAAGGTGTTATTCACACTGAGAATAATAAACCAGGTGTACCATTACCCTGTCAAACTGCTTTCATTAACAATGTTTTGTGAAGTAAACTGCCTGACCTTCAAGGATTAAATTACAAAGTTTGTCTGGTTGCCTTGGATAATTCTGATGATGCATGTTGACTTAAGATTTTTGGTGTCAAACTTCGTTTTATTATTAAGAACATGATCTAATGTGCATAATAACTTGCATGTATTCAAAAATTCTTAGCCTTCTGTTACATAACTACATTTTATAGCTTTCTTTTCCGCCGAACTTTCCCCAGACAATTACCAGGATGTTTATGACGCACAAATGTGCTTATCCCTGCTAAAAATTCATTCATGCATTGTCTTCCCATTGGCAATCCTACCCCATTAAGATATTTTGAATGATTTTTACTTGTCTTTGTGGCGAACCTGTTGCTTGAACGTGATAAAACGTGGGATGATTGATAAGGCCATTCATTAGAAAACAATGAACTTATTACAAAAAGAACGTGACTCTAGTGAGACAGTGTTTAGGTAATTATTCTATACAACCAGGGTGCGGCTTTGTTAAAGCAATTTCAGTACGTAACCTCATTGTAACATTTATCATTTACGCACGTATTTAAAACTATTTTTCGCCTGCAAACCTTATAACCATCAGACTTATAACCGAATTATATCACGCTGAGATTAAAACAAATATCCCGGCTGGATTGTCTACACAGTATCTGCGCTAGATACACTGTGGAAATTCTGTAAACATTGCGCATTTAGATAGTTTGTGGAATTGTGTTTCCATAATCGTTAAATAACTGATATACCTGCACTGTCTTGTTTTAGCTAGCGATGCTTTTCAATTTATGCGAAACATATGTGTAAAATTTATAAGCTTGTTTTTATGACCTTGAATGTACCTGATAAATATAGAAAGAAGGTCAGAAATCTAGAAGTCCCCACGTCATATTTTCGGAAGAGGAAATAGTGAAATATTAATGCGTATATGGATCAAGTTCCCACGTTGACGTGCCGGAATTTACTTACCATCAGCTGTCATTTTTTGACGAGAACAAGAGTTGCATGAGAGTTGACAAGCGAGAGTTTACATGAGAGTTTTATCAACTATCATTGCTTGATCAAACGAGAGCAAGAGTTGCATTGAGAGTTGACAAGCGAGAGTTTACATGAGAGTTTCATCAACTATCATAGCTTCATCAAACGAGAACAAGGGTTGCAATATAGAGTCATACAAAGTTGCCCACCCTGTGGACATTCATCATTCGTGGTCAGACTAAACAACTTTCTTATTTCTCGTTTTCTTGCAGGTGATTCCATTGAATGGTAATAAAGATGATACTGAGAGTTTACTGGTTGAATCATTCCTAGCAAGCGGTCGTCTCACTCACGTTCATTGGTTAATGGGTTATCATCCTCAGTACTTGGAGTGTTTTTTAAACACTCATTTCTACCTCATGAGGGCGGAAGGTCCACTGCCATTCGATTGGAGATGTTACATTGCAATCTTGGTATGTCCTCTTAGCCGTGTTGAGTGCAACCGAACTACTTAACTGAACAATGAACCGCTCAAAATCAGAAGCCCTCGTACTAGTTTATAATATCTTATTCCCTTCCATATAACTCTGTTCAATCCATTCTTAGATCTTCTTCCCGGATTTTTAATTCAGTTTCCTCTTTTTTTCATAGCATTTTTCGTTATGAGCATACTTATTATGATATAGTTTTTTCCCGTCAAAAATGTTTTTAATTTTTTATTATTCTCTTTTAGGCTGCAAGTCGTCATCGTTGCTGTTATCTGGTAAGTCTCCTCTTATGACATTTAAAAACAACGCTAAAAATTCCTAAAGAGAAACTTGGAAGAAAAAATATATGATGTTTCAGACTTACCAAAACCGCTTAGTTCATCTTGTATGCTTCTATATCTTGACTTGTTCTCCAAAGAAAATCGTCAAGGATAATCATTTTTCCTTCCCTGTTTAACTAGAAGAGTAATTTATACATATTTCCTGACATGAGTGTACTGTAGTTGTCTTTGAGATGTTACAATTGTCTTTCATTACCAGGTGAGGTTGTACGAGTCAGAGTTTTTAAAGAATGAAGGTGACCCGAAGTGGTTGAAAGGTTTGGAACACATTCCAAAGAAACTGTATAATTTGCATAATATCAACAAAATCTTGGCACATCAACCTTGGACGGTGAACTCAGATCATATGAAGGTAGATACTGCTTTGTTGGTACATGTACATGAGAAATGCCATCAGAACTGATGTATATGACGTCTTTATATAGGATCTTCGTGAGGGTGAAGATAGTTGGTCTTTATCTGAATTAGTTCAGGCGATTACCATCTTGATTCACTTCCACTGTCTATCAAGTTTCGTGTATGGGTGTGGGGTGACCCCAGAGATCGACCTCGAAGGTGGACATACCTTCAGACCTCCCTCGTTAACCACAGATCATGATTCGAACGGGCTGGATAATGATGTTCATACAGGGAGATCTAGGGACAATAAGGAACTCGTAGCGTTGATGAATGCCGTCTCGGAGAAACAGAAAGATCAAGGCGAGGTCTCGGTCGAGAAAATACGTCAAGAATTTGAAAATATAGCTTCTGACGAGGGTAGGTGCAAGTGATTTCTGATTCTGATAAATGGATTTTGATTCACGATATCGCTCCGTTCCTGCAGAGGGATTTTGTTTGTAAACGCATTTTGATGGATGTGAACGAGTGAATTACTTACGGATGTTCAAATAAGAGCTCTTATACATCAGAGCATTCGTGACTAATCACTCGTTCACATCTACCAAAAGAAGAATCGCAGCGAAAATTGCAACGTTTAATTTTACTTTTAACGAGCATTTTATTTCATTTTTTCTTATTTCAGTGGTAAATGTGAGTTATTCTGACAGCACCTGTACGCCGGAACAAAGTTTCTCTCATTACCTCAAGGATCCAAATTTTCGTTACAAGAATTTTGCTGATACGAGAAATGAGAACAATCAGCGATCATTGAACGTCAACGAATATTCTTGGGAAGAATATGGTTTCTCGCTGGTCGATAGATTCTACCCAGAAATGGGACAATTACTCGACGAGAAGTTTAAAGTTTGCGAAAACTTAACCTATAACACGTAAGCAAGAAACATAGAATGTGAAAGCAGTTTTAAATGGTCCAGAATGCATAATATTCCATCTTCTAGAGTACATGCCAAGATGCTTGACCGAATTTTTGTGTTTTATTTCTAGTGTTGGAACTGAAGAAAGTGTTGACACAAGAGCGTTCAGACAAGCAACGTGGAACTACATCCATCTGTTGTTTGGTCTTTTTCACGATGATTACAGATATGACGAGGTAGAATCATCTTTATCCAGTCTTTGCAAGCAAACTGACTTTAATATACACCTCAATTGTTTTTCTAATTATATCATCATTACAACTTCACCGTTTCTGCATTTTCAGGTGAACAGTTTAATGGAAAAAAGTTACAAGACATATATTAAGAAGGTATTTACAGTCCGTGCATATCCCATATTCTTCGTCTTTTTTGAACTCACAGTCTGTTTTGCTAATAACAAAATTTTTTCAGGTCGTTTGCTTTCCTGGACAAACAACTCAAGACGATTATCTTAATTGTCTTCGACAACTTACTCACTCTGAAAAGGTAAGATTTAGATGTGCTAAAGAAGCTATTTCCTGTTAGATTGTTGGGATATTTCGTAAATTAAGATATGTTTCTTTTTACCCAGGTTCATATCAACCTCATCGCGTTTGAATCTCGCATGCAGGCAGAGTTGTTATATGCTCTTCGAGCAGTCATGAGGTAGCCTCTGGTTATGTTTGTAAACAAAAATATAGTATTATATAGTAGAGTAATGATATAGAATAGAGTTTATCCTTTGGCACTCAGTGTGAAATTTAACTTATTGAATACGGAGATTTAGATACGAACGGTTTTAGCGATTTGTGGATGGGGCAATTGGTGTTATTTTACGAATCTGTGTCTCTGTTTTATGTGATACAGTAGAAAAAAGTTATCCCTTGTTCTACGATGAAAACTCTGGGTATAAAAGAATATCCACAACTAATATTGCTCTTTCCCAAAGAGCTTCTTAAGTTAGTTCACTTTGTTTACATCGGATATTTTTGAACGGTTTGAACCAGAATTGCTTCTGAAATGTTTTCCAAAGTTGAACTCTCAATTTAGTGAAGTCATGAAATGTTGGTTACTGTAGGTTTTGTTCTAAAAGACTTCACAACAACTAAAATCTTGTCAACACTGATCGTCAACTGTCGATAGTCAACTGTCGATAGTCCATTTTTACTATAGTTTATTTATATTTATTGAGCAGAAATTATATATTTCTGTTCAAAAACCATTTTCTTTTCTCAATAAACCATGATTTTGGAAAATTTGTATATGTAGATGTTTAAATAAAAATCTTTCAACGATGTTTTGTGAATTTTCATTGACCACGGTTGCTCTGTATAGAAATCTTTTTCCACTATCACTTTTGAGAAAATACCTAGTGAAATATGAAACAATAAAAGTACTATGCTATCTGTTGGTAGTTTAATGGTGAAGAAAATGGTATTTTTGGTTCCAACCGACGATTCGAATGCCATGAAAAGTTTTTATCATCTTCTAGGAACAACTGCGGAATGTTAAACTAACTGTTTATGGTGGAAATTAAATCTTTAATTGAGTCTAATATTAATTAAATGTGGTAATTATTTTAATTGTAAAGAAGCCAAATCATGATTGCAAGATGAAGTATCCCGTTAAAAATCAAGATGGCGTCTCCTCGAATCGAGATAAAAAATAAGAAAAAAAGTCTGTGAGCTCGACGGAATGATTTCATGAAAATATTTGATAGAAATGGATAGAAAAAGGTCTATATTCTTCTCTTTGAATGACCGGGCGTATGGTTATAGGCGACACACTAACTTAAAGAGAAATGTTTTAGGTAATAAAGTCATTTAAACCAACTAAATTTATAATTTTTGTTTTGCATTCAGAATTATAACGTTATTTCAAGTCATTGATTAGTGTTTCGTATTTTATTTCAACTAGGAAGTGAATATATAATCAAAAGATTGAAATGCGAGCATTCGTTTATCGGTCATGAAGGATGTGTAAGTATTACCTTCTCATTTTCTAGAGAATACCAACCTTTATATGGTCTCTACACTCAAGCAGGGCTGCCCTTACCCAGAAGCGGGGAAAAGAGGGTGGCAGCTACCCCCCACCTTCCCCCTCCACCCTAGAAGACGTTCAACTTTGAATTTTTAAAGCAATATGGTCCAATCTTGCCTTACTATTACAAATGAAGTCGGCATTTTTTTTTCTAGTCTGGCTTTTTATACTTTTTCCCCTTAATTCATGTAAACTTCAATGTAATGCTCGGTTCATATTTGATTGAGGCACGCCTGGGTTTTAATTGTTCATATCTTGTGTTGCGTAAATCTTTTTTGATATTATCCAGTACGGCCGGCTCACTGTTAGCTGTCATATGTGAACCAGGCTTTATAAGATATAAGATACTTTTGAGGCTAAATTTTGATATTATTCAGGTCAACACTGTCGTATGGAATGATTGTGGAGATACCTTGCTCTCTGGTTCAGATGATTGTAAATTAAATATCTACCATCTCTCATCTTCTAAGGTATATTTTTCAACAGAAACAATATCAGTTCTTAATTTAGGTACCAGTAAACTTGTAGCAGAGATTTGGTAATCAGAAAGAGTTAGTCATTCAAAGTATATGTTGGCATTGTGCTTGCAAAAGTTGCAAACATGATGACCTTATATCAGTCGTTACTCATAATAATGATGGAAAGATTTCAGATTGACAACCACTCAAATAATATAATTGTACTTGATTAAGTGAAATGTTTGTTGAAATTTGAAACTCCCCAATTGAAAACAATAACTTACCAATAACTCACTAATTGTACATAGTGTAACTAACCATTTGGGACTAGTTGAGTTGTAACTCACAAATGGTAACAATAGACTAGGCTTTCATCCAGGAAAGAGTGTATAATAGTTTACAAAGCAACATACAAATAAAATGAAGTTGAAATCCATCTGCCATTATGTCTTTGAATTAAAAAAGAAATATTATGTTTTGTTCATTTTATTTTCTTCCCAGCCAGAGCTCACAATTCAAAGTGGTCATAACGCAAACATCTTCAGTGCAAAATTTATCCCCTGTACTGGTGGTACGAAGGTATATAATGTAATATTTGTAATATTTTCATAATACCTACATAGTACATCATTGTATCCTCATGTATTTCTAGATTGCATCATGTTCTGGGGATGGTATTATTCAATACAACGAAATAAATACTAATTCATCCCATGGAATGAACCCATTTCATTGTCATCGCTCAACAACATATGAGGTACAGTATATGCTTAACTTGTTCTTCCTAGAGGTCCAGTAAGGATCATCTTCAGTGGTGGGGCAAGCGGGGTTGTTGTCCTTTTAGTTGTCCTTTTAGTTGTCCTTTTAGTTGTCTTATTGATTCAGTTTTACTACAGGAGGAACCTAAACAAACTAACTTTATTTATACTGGATAGCTCTATCAGTTCTAAACTGTTCTTCCTAGAGGTCCAGTAAGGATCATCTCTTATTGATCCAGTGTTACTACAGGAGGAAACCTAAACTAAACTAACTTTATTTATACTGGGAAGCTCTATCAGTTCTAAACTGTTCTTCCTAGAGGTCCAGTAAGGATCATCTCTTATTGATCCAGTGTTACTACAGGGGGAAACCTAAACTAAACTAACTTTATTTATACTGGATAGTTCTATAGTTCTAAACTGTTCTTCCTAGAGGTCCAGTAAGGATCATCTCTTATTGATCCAGTGTTACTACAGGAGGAAACCTAAACTAAACTAACTTTATTTATACTGGATAGCTCTATCAGTTCTAAACTGTTCTTCCTAGATGTCCAGTAAGGATCATCTCTTATGATCCAGTGTTACTACAGGAGGAAACCTAAACTAAACTAACTTTATTATACTGGAAGCTCTATCAGTTCTAAACTGTTCTCCTAGAGGTCCAGTAAGGATCATCTCTTATTGATCCAGTGTACTACAGGGGGAAACCTAAACTAAACTAACTTTATTTATACTGGATAGTTCTATCAGTTCTAAACTGTTCTTCCTAGAGGTCCAGTAAGGATCATCTCTTATGATCCAGTGTTACTACAGGAGGAAACCTAAACTAAACTAACTTTATTTATACTGGATAGCTCTATCAGTTCTAAACTGTTCTCTAGATGTCCAGTAAGGATCATCCTTATTGATCCAGTGTTACTACAGGAGGAAACCTAAACTAAACTAACTTTATTTATACTGGATAGCTCTATCAGTTCTAAACTGTTCTTCCTAGAGGTCCAGTAAGGATCATCTCTTATTGATCCAGTGTTACTACAGGGGGAAACCTAAACTAAACTAACTTTATTTATACTGGATAGCTCTATCAGTTCTAAACTGTTCTTCCTAGAGGTCCAGTAAGGATCATCTCTTTTGATCCAGTGTTACTACAGGGGGAAACCTAAACTAAACTAACTTTATTTATACTGGATAGCTCTATCAGTTCTAAACTGTTCTTCCTAGAGGTCCAGTAAGGATCATCTCTTATTGATCCAGTGTTACTACAGGAGGAAACCTAAACTAAACTAACTTTATTTATACTGGATAGTTCTATCAGTTCTAAACTGTTCTTCCTAGAGGTCCAGTAAGGATCATCTCTTATTGATCCAGTGTTACTACAGGAGGAAACCTAAACTAAACTAACTTTATTTATACTGGATAGCTCTATCAGTTCTAAACTGTTCTTCCTAGATGTCCAGTAAGGATCATCTCTTATTGATCCAGTGTTACTACAGGAGGAAACCTAAACTAAACTAACTTTATTTATACTGGATAGCTCTATCAGTTCTAAACTGTTCTTCCTAGAGGTCCAGTAAGGATCATCTCTTATTGATCCAGTGTTACTACAGGGGGAAACCTAAACTAAACTAACTTTATTTATACTGGATAGCTCTATCAGTTCTAAACTGTTCTCCTAGAGGTCCAGTAAGGATCATCTCTTATTGATCCAGTGTTACTACAGGAGGAAACCTAAACTAAACTAACTTATTTATACTGGATAGTTCTATCAGTTCTAAACTGTTCTTCCTAGAGGTCCAGTAAGGATCATCTCTTATTGATCCAGTGTTACTACAGGAGGAAACCTAAACTAAACTAACTTTATTTATACTGGATAGTTCTATCAGTTCTAAACTGTTCTTCCTAGAGGTCCAGTAAGGATCATCTCTTATTGATCCAGTGTTACTACAGGAGGAAACCTAAACTAATTTTAACAAATTGAATATTTGTTTGTCAGGTGAACACCACACCAGGAGATCCATCCACTTTTATGTCATGTGGTTCTGACGGCACAGTCCGTTTATTTGATCTTCGAATTAAAACGAAGTGCCTGTGCAATGGTTGCAAGGAGGTAATTGTTTATGACTTCTGAAATACAACTTAATTGCAACAAGTCAGCTAAATCTATCTGGGTAAGCAAGCCATTCACAATTTCTCAAGAAGCTGGAGAAGCAGTAAGAAGACATCCTGTGTGGAAGAGCATTTTGTGAATGAAAATTCATTACTTTTTTTTTTCAGGATGTGCTGATAGATTGTGGGAAACCAGTGACATCATTTTGCGTGAATCCTGTTCAGCCAAACCATGTTGCTATTGGTTGTGAAAAGAGTTTGCTAAGAGTTTATGATCGAAGATCACTGAGCACTGGTGAGGAAAACAACGAACAGGACAAACAGCGTGGTCTTCTGTATCAGTTCAGACCAAGTGCTTTAAACAAAGAAATGTGCAAAGTAACGTCATTAAAATATAGGTAATTTGTGTCTAATATGTTTAGCTTGGGCTTCGTATCACTGGATCAATAAGAGATGATCCTTACTTGACCTCTAGGAAGAACAGTTTAGAACTGATAGAACTATCCAGTATAAATAAAGTTAGTTTAGTTTAGGTTTCCTCCTGTAGTAACACTGGATCAATAAGAGATGATCCTTACTGGACCTCTAGGAAGAACAGTTTAGAACTGATAGAACTATCCAGTATAAATAAAGTTGGTTTAGTTTAGGTTTCCTCCTGTAGTAACACTGGATCAATAAGAGATGATCCTTACTGGACCTCTAGGAAGAACAGTTTAGAACTGATAGAGGTATCCAGTATAAATAAAGTTAGTTTAGTTTAGGTTTCCTCCTGTAGTAACACTGGATCAATAAGAGATGATCCTTACTGGACCTCTAGGAAGAACAGTTTAGAACTGATAGAGCTATCCAGTATAAATAAAGTTCGTTAAGTTTAGG